TGTGATGGTAAGTACAATGGTTGTGTTGTAGAAACGGAACCAAAGTATGAAGAAAGTCATGGGGACTCAACAGCACAAGCTCCTTGAGGACATCTGGAAATAAAAACACAGTTTCAATAAAGTGCAGTCAGGCAAACATTTAAGAAACAGAAACGAGAACAATTTTATGTAGCCAAGAGAGATTATGGAAGAGAGAAGGGAGTATTTAATGCATAATGATTATGTGTCTTCATAAAAAAAAAAAAAAGAACCAGAGCAGTTTAGACAGAACTCCAAGATTCAAAGTTCCTTCAGAGGTTAATTCACTTCTAATGTTCTATGGTGAGTACGTCACAGCAGTGGCGATTCTGAGGACAGGCTCCTGGCAGAGTTTCTGGTGCATGGAGGGTACTCCCAAGTGCTCCTCCGCTCTTGTTGAGGGTTTAAGAATGAAAGCCAGTAATTCACAGGAAAATCAGACCACAAGGTACCAACACTGCTTGCTTACAGCACCCAGTTACACATGACAGTGTGAGAAACTATAAGTACTTCAAACAGCTGCTGAAGCAGTAAAAAGAACTGATTGTAAAATAGATGAGGATCCTTTATCTGCCACAAATGATCATTTTAATACATGCAATTTTTGTAAAAAGTGAAATAGTCATAAATATCTTTAGGCAAAAGTCAGTGAGACAATGAGGCTAATCTTCTACAGTATTGGTTCTAACCTGTGAACACTGTTAGGCGGTCCTTGGGTTATAAACATCTGATTTGTGGACAACTCCAACTTGCTCTTTAATTAGTTACGTAAATTTGCCCTCACTTTAAAACTCACAATAAATTCTTCATCAGAATCATCTGTGCTTGGTGCACTTGTAGCTTTAAAGTTACTGAAAAGGCTCGGAGCGCGATCTTACATAAAGGAAGGCTAAGTAAGAACTTCCTATACTTTTTCTAATTCATCTATTTTGCTGGTAACCCACGGACTTCTTGCACATATTCCATTTTACGTAGAGAACACCAGAAGATTTCAGAGCTGCGAGAACCAAGAGGTATTAAGAGGTATTATGAGACCTGTAGGATCACATGGTTGAATTTTAGGACCTGGAGGCTAGTGTGAGTTACAAATAAAAAGTACAGATGTCTTTTAAACCTTACAGACCTAACATAGCAGCATGCAAACAAAAACTCACGGGTCGTAGTCTTCTTTAAAAGATGTTTTTCCCAAGTAACTTACCTATACAGGCATTTCTAAGTTCTGGAGGGCTGTAGGAATTAAGAAGAGTTAACAGTTTATGGGCAAATTCGATTCGCTCCTGCCACTGGATTAATGCTTGTTTCACATCTGCAAATACAAAAGCACACATAAATATGCCATTTGAGATCAAGTTTCCACAATTACTTTCAATTCTAATCTATAAATAACACTATGAAATAAAAATTACACAAATACCCAAATTGCTACCATGCATGGAAACGGATTCCAAACTCCTAATGTTGACGTTTCCAGAGTGCGTGCCGAGAGCTTTACTGGGACCCATGACATTCTGGGGTGGTGTTACTACCGTCTTCTGTGCATGACTTAAAGACAATTTCTGAGTTGTGTGGCTTAAAAGCCCTATTTCTCCTCTTAATAGCAGCACTTTAAAAGAAAGAACCAGAAATGATCAAACCTTTTCTCTGCAGATATGGACGTGTAGACTTCAAAACCGAAAGGAAAATAGACAGAAGTTCTACCAAGTCTCCAGTCACATGGCAAGCTGTGGCTTCATGGTACATCATGTGAAGTGTGTTGAAAGACTACAAATGATTATAAAGAAGAGAAAACTTCACTTCATTTTTATTTTACTTAGTTACAAAATAGTATATAACCTTCTGTAGTGTTTTCAGTTCGTATGTATGTGCATGCAAGCAAATGTATCTGCTTTCTCTATCAATAAGTCAACTTCTTTCAGCTCCTGAGGTCTTAGAAAGGACAAGGTAGGAGGCAACAGAAGGAAGATGAGAGAATTAGGTAACAGCTACAACTTTACAAGGCTTCTGAAGAATGAGCAATACTCAAAACAGCAGGTGTGAAAAACCAATTAATTTCTTTAGTTATACTGGCTGGTAAACCTCTTAATTCCTTTAACTTTATTGGCTAATTTAACCCCTAATTTTTTATAATTTATTTTATAGTGAAACATCTTTTTTCCAACATTGCCTTTAATGGTAATCAGAACTCAAAGTTTAAAGCTCTTGGCCTAGAATCTGGTAGTAAACAATGTGAGCCGTGTACCTGTGCACCATGGTACCTGTAAGCTGTGAGAGAAGGAACCCCACTGGTCTTGTTCAATGCTTTATCCCCAAGCACAGTGGCTGGCACACAGCAGATACTCACTTGTTCAGTGAAGGAATGACAATCTCATCAACCTCTCTTTGTGTACTGTTTCAAACAGAAACACTGGCATTCTTCAAACACCCAATACTGTGTTAAGGCTGAGCTCAAAACATCACTTAACTTATCCCACTTACCTCGCAAATCCAAATTTTTCAACCCTGACTTGAAAACATGTCCTAGCCCTGTTTTGTAACATCACTAACAGGAAAAATGAACTTGTACTTTTCTCATGGAACTCCTGGAATATACTATTCCATCTTACTTTATTTCCATTATCAAATAAAAAAAGCTTTAAAGTTATTATACACTGTGGATGTTAAGAAATACGAAAAGGGTGAATGAATAAATTTTTTTATTTGTATTGGGACTGCAGTGAAGGTGTAAATTGCCTTTGGTAATACTGTCATTTTTACAATATTGAGTCTTCCTACCCATGCTGATCAAGGTATATTCTTCCATTTCTCTAGATCTCTTTTTGTTTCTTGCAGTAATGTTTCGTAATTTTCTTTGAATAGATCCTTTGTGTTCCTGGTTAGATTACTCCCAAGTACTTAATCTTGTGATTAGCTATTGTGAAGGGTATTGTTTTTCTTAGCTCCAGTTCTGTATTCTTTTTGTCACTGTACAGAAATCCAACTGATTTTTTATATTGATCTTGTAGCCTGTCACTTTGCCAAATTGGTCAATTACGTCCAGTTTTCTTGCTGAGTCTTTTGGGTTTTCAAAGTATACTTTCATATCTCTTTGCCAATTTAGATACCTCTTATTTCCCTCTCTTGTCTTATGTCAATTGCTAAGAATTCCAATACAGTAACAGAAGTCAATGAATAACAGGAAATTGAATAACAGAGGTGATAATGGGCATCCTTACCTAGTCCCAGTTCTCAAAGGGAATGCCTTTAATCTCTCTCCATTGAGAACAATGTTGGCTCTTGGGTTTGCGTATATATTCAGTTGAAGAAATTCTCCTCTAATCCTATTTTGTTGAGTGTTTTAATCAGGAAAGCGTGTTAGATTTTGTCAACTCTGCCTTTTCTGCATCAACTGATAAGATCATGTGGTTCTTGTTCTTTGCTTTATTAATGTGATGAATTACATTGATTGTTTTTATTTTTATAATTATTTTTTGTGTGTACCGCCAAATATTACCACTCCTCCTCTAGCACAGCATCTGGTAGATTCGAACCACATACCTTTGGGGTCGCAGTGCAGCTTCTTGCCACTAGGCCACCAGATCTCCCTTGATTGTTTTTCTTATGTTGAACCATCCTTGCATACCTGTTTTGGACCCCACTTGGTCATGGTGAATTATTTTTTTAATGCATCATTGGATTCTACTAGCTAGGATTTTATTCAGGATTTCTGCATCTATGTTCAGAAGAGATATTAGCCTATAGTACTCTATTTTGGTGGTGTCTTTACCGGCCTTTGGTAACAAGGATATGTTTGCTTCATAGAATGAGTCTGGGAGAATTCCATCTTTCTCTATTTCCTAAAATAGTTTATGTAGAATTGGTGACAGTTCTTCTCTGAATGTTTGATAAAATTCACTTGTAAAACCATCTGGTCCAGGGATTTTTTTTGGCTGGAAGTTGTTTTATTATCTTTTCAATTTCTTCTTTTGTAATGGGTCTGGTCAGGTGCTCAATTTTTGTGTCAGTTTAGGTAGGTTGTGAATTTCTAAGTATTTGTCTATTTCCTCTAGGTTTTCATATTTGAGTATAGTTTTTCATAATATTCCTATGTTACCCATTTTATCTTAGTTGGTTCTGTTGTGATGTTGCCCGTTTCATCTTTTTTTCAGATTATCTGTGTCTCTTCCTTTGTTAGTTTTGCTAGTGGTTTGTCGATTTTATTGACCTTTTCAAAGAACCAACTCCTAAGTTTGTTGATAGTCTCAATTGTTTTTCTGTTTCTATTTCATTTATTTATGCACCAATTTTTTACAATTTCAGTTTCTATAGAGGGTGCTGGGTTTCCTTGCTGTTATTTTTCGATTTGTTGGAGATGCTGGGTTAGAGAATCAATGATCATTTTTTCCTGCCTTATGATCTGTTTATTGCTATAAATTGACCTCTCATCACTGCTCTGGCTGTTTCCCAGAGATTTTTTTTACTTTTCAAAGAGAAAAATGAACCGTGGGGTTGGGGGAGATGTGGGTATGGAGAAAAGTGTGCAACAATGAATGAATGGAAATCCAAAGTCTCTGGGAACTTCCATTAAAATAAAAAATTTTAAAAAAAGAAAAGAAAAAGATTTTAGCAGCCTGCTGAAGTATCATGGTCCAATCTCAGCCTCTGTGTTCTGTTTAATTAGGTGACGTCTGGGAAATGATGTGAGACTAAACAATTTTCATCTTTATGAATAAAAACAATCTAACTCAGTTCTAAGTATCAAAAGAGGTGAAAGGTGTGAAAATTATTATAGGAAAAAGAAATGGTGACCTAAACATTAATATCTAATAAATTTGAGAATATAATGAAATTGTGACCACTTATAAACTTTCCGAACTTTAAATATTTACAAAACCCATGCAGTAAAAGAATAAAATGTTACCTCAGTCATTAGGATTAATCCTCGATTAAACACAACAAGAAGTCTGTCTTCATCAGATTCTAACAGTATTCTGAAGGCACTAGAGAGAAAGATATAAGACTGACTATAATTTATTTCATTATCAGATACTGGAAACTGAGCTGCAAAGTACAACACAAAATCCTACTTGAGTAAGAGGTTTTCTTTCCTTCTTAAAAAAAATCTTTTTAAAAACTAATTTTAAGAAGCAAACTTTTGGAAAACAGTTTGTCCAAATATCCACATCAAAAATTGGGGTTGGGGAGAGACTGAGTAAGATGGGTTCAATAATGTATACTGCACTGAAACAGAGGAGGGAGAAAACTGTTTAAAAGAGATATATAACTGGGTATTTCTGTCATCACAGGAGACTAGAGCGAGGGCTACATGGTGGAGGGGACCTGGGGGAGGGTTTGTAAAACAATGAAAGAATCTTTTCTTTTACTTTTCCATAATTTTTGGGCTCACGTACTTATAACTTGTTAGTCAAATTTGTGTCTTCTAGGTTGCAACACCCCCATGATACATCTTCAAGGATATGAACATGTACGGCCAAGCACAATCAATAAGAGTGCATCTAAATTCCAAAATCAATCTCCATAATAGTCTATGTGTTTCCTACTGCCAAAGGGGCCCTTTAGAGTAGTGAGAGAAGATCTTCACCCTGAAACCCACAGCATCCCTTTTCAGCAGGAAGTAGCTAAGAGAATACACCATCCCCTTTTCCTTATGACTCGGGGTGAAGTCTCTCTCAGGGAGGAGTGATAGGGAATGGCAAAGGACACACTGACAAAGGAGATTAATCAGAACTGGCTTTGACAAGCACTGTGGCATTTGGACAAGAACAAACTGGGAGGAGGGTAGAGAGAATAGTGCAACAATGAATGAGTGGCAGCCCAAAACCTCTGTAAATGTTTATGAAAATTAATAAAATATAATTATAGAAAAAAAAATTCCATAAAAAGCCACTTTCTCTTTTCCTGATTTCCTTCAGTCTTTTAAGAAAATACTGCAAAAAACTGTGTCTAATGAAGAAATCACCTCCAAGTCTTAGCTGTGTTTCTTGTTGTGAGGTCCTGTTGTTGTTACAGTGACCTTATGAATGCCGGATCTGAACCCTGCACTGTGTGTGCCATCTTCATCATCTCTGCACCCTCGAGTCCACTGGTACAGTCACCGTGTTAATCCACCGCAGTGAGTCATCCCTCCTTTGCTGACCCTCCCCTTTCCTGAACATGTCTTTCTCTAAGGACCAGGCCCCTCCTAACAACATGTCTGGAACAACATGTCCTAACAACAACTCTGGAACACAGTTTCTCTACCTCTCCCTCTAAGAAGCACTCTGGTTACATGTTCTACATGATATACCTGTTTGTTTTCTTGACAGTCCATGGGATATTTAGTGCTCATCTCCAGTCCCTCACTACACACTTTCCCAATACATACGTAGTAGGTAGCATTTTAAGAAATTAGTCTGAACTTTACTTCCACAGTGAGCTCTGATGGTATAGTCTACAGGGAGTTTTTAGGTTATTCTAAAGATAAGGAAAAGTAAGTAACCTTTTCAGCAGCTCATTAACTTCTGTAGTTCTGAACAAGTAAATGTAAATACTATTTTGGTCAATTGCTACAGGTAAGAGAGTTAAAGGGCTAACTGGAATGGCAAAGAGTATTTACAGCCAGCTCTGATGGAGAAGGGTGCTCCAACGGTCACTAGAACAGAACTATTTATTCAAGCACAACACTCTAAAGTCATTGCTGTCAAGTTGGAATTGACCCTCCAGAGGGTTTCCAAGGCCATAAATCTCAGCAGAGGGGACTGTCCATCTTTCTCCAGAGGAGCCACTGACAGGCTCCAGAGAAGTGTGTCCTTTCAGTTAGCAGGACAACTCCCAGAGGACAGTGGGACCAGCGTGAAGTCAGAGTGAATTCCAACACAGAGAAAGATTTGAGCTGATGATGGAAACACACGTACAGGCCCATCACTAACTTTCAAAGTAAAGATCCTTCTAAGGCATTTATGGGCATAAATGATTTCCCAATAATCCTGAAGGCTTGGCCAACTCTCAGTTACAAGTCATTTATACTATTCTCTTAATTCCAAGAGGATAATTCTCATTCCTGTGTTTTGGGGGCCAAGGGGAGAGGAAAAAGGGGAGGAAGTGCAGGACAAACTCCGGATATCAACCAGAAAACATCATTTTACCTTATTAATGTAGTCCAGCAGGAGCGGCCATCTAAACAACGCAAGTAACAACTTATTGTTGTTTTCTTAAACTGTTTAATATCTTCTAGTTCTTCTTCTCGCATATCTGGCCTTTGAGCTATAAACAGCTGCATCAGGTTAAATAGTTCTTCCACTGCCTAAAAAGAAAGGGCACTTTGGTTATCCTTTTAACACTATAAAATTTTTTAATACCTGCTACTTTTTCTGCAAGTGATGCTAATTAACCACCTCTTAAAAACGACACTAATAAGGATCTAAACTCTCATTTAAAATCTCAAAATGAGTTATTACTTCCTTAAATGTGTGTCCTGAGACAGGGTAAGTTATTACACTTTGTCACAACATGAAGAATCATCTTTCTAGACTGATAGGTTGGTTGTTCAAGTGACCAAGAGGAAGAAATGAGGGCACTAATATTTTAGTACAATCACAGGTGGTAGTTTTATTAATTTATTTATTCATATGTGCCCTTGAAATATTTATTAGTTAATAAACTAGCTCAAACTCTCAGCTTGACACTTTCATGGCAAAAGTGAGTTAAGCAGCATTTTCACTAAAATCTCCAACAGATTTTACAAAATAGTGTATTTCACTGATGCGAAGGACAAGGATTATTATTATTTAAAGATAATCCTACTCCCTAGCATTATTTCATAAAAATATATTTAAGGTTTTTCGTTTAGTAACGAATCAAGCACTATTTTTGGGAACGTGGAAAGACAAATATCCACAGAAACCTAATAAAATCCTGTCCTGAATCCTTAAAGTCAGACAATTGTATTCTCTTCCTTAGGCATTATTTAATAGCCTTGCCTTTAAACCTACTGTGGTACGTTCTTCCCTGTATTACAGGCAGTTAACAAGGAAATTATTTTTTTCTGAGTGAGATACTTTAATAACTCACTACATACTGTTTAAAAAAGGCATTTCAATTAAGGATTCTATTTTAATTTCTAGTGATACATCCTCCATTGCACTCAGATTACTCTAACATCCCGAAGTAGTTCTGACCAGTTCTCTGTGAGTATATTCCGCATTAGCCACTGCCATATCTGGGTTGACAAGACCATGAAAAGGGGTTGACTTCCTCGAGCAAGCCTCGTCCCAGTTTGACAAGCATTTGTCATCTGAGTTCACAACAGAATAGGAAAGGGAAGTGTGCAAAAAAATCTACAGAAACAACAGTTCAACATGAAAAAAAAACCCAGCTCACAGAGAATCTGACTTTCCAGTCTATAGGCATCTACTAGGGACCCTGTTAAAATGTACACTGATTCAGTATCTCTCTAAGTGGACGTCCACATTCTCAGCTGACCACTGAATCAGGATGAACCAGCTTACAGTCCTGCCACAATATCACTGTTTAATGTGCATGCATACATACGTACACACACACACATACATATTTTACCTCTTAATCTCTTCACTCATCTGAATATACTTTGAGAAAAACAACAGTGAGAAATACTACCATTCTCAGATCGCCTTTGAGCTTGACAAAGACTACCTAATTTTTAAATAGTTGAGTGGCAATCATTTCCCTGAAACTGTATCACAAAACTGACTTCTTCCATTGGGTAGACACGAAAAATGCACTGATAAAACCACAAGAAAAAAAGACCCACATCTTTATCAATTTTACAGCAAAATTAATTTCATATGTACATTCTAGAAAACAAATACATGTTAAGCTCTCAAAAAAGTATAATTAATTTTATTTTATCCAAACAGGTATTTCCAATCAGTTTGAAGGTACAGATAGAAGAGTATCGATTTTACTCACTCCAGGATACTGGCTGGCATGTGGTGTAAGATTCTTAAAGGCCCACTGGATGTTCTGGTGAGAAGCTAGTTGTCGTGTGAACGCGGGAGACTGCTCGCAGCAGAGCCTCAGAATGCCGTAGTAGGCAGGCAGCATCCCACGGTTAAAAAGCACCACATCCTGATCATCATGGTCAGCAAGGATGTAATTGAAGGCAATGTTCTTGGTCACCACTGGATTCTGAACAATAAGGCGGATATTCTCTGGACAGTCAGCACACACATTGTACCAAAACGAAAGCAAAGCCTGTTTATTGTGATTTGTAGCTATTGCTGGCTCAGAAAGCTTAGGCTGGAAAAGGTTCCACAAATCCATGAAATATGTGGAAAACATCAGCTTCTCAGTTTTGGAAATTAAACAGTAAGTCATAAAGCTAAAATACGGCACAAGCTTTGTCGTGCCATGAACAGCAGCATCAACATAGAGTTTGGCTCTTGAGAGCAAACCAAGGAGCACGTTGTAGACCTGATGCAGGACTACTGTGGTGTCCGGACTGAGTGGAAGGTCACGGGTTGGGATGTGCAAAGACCTTGTTGACCGGAACATCTGACGGAATGAATTGCTTGGTATAAGGGACACCAGAAGATAAGCTGCAGCTATAAAATGTAAAACAAAACTGTCAGATCCTTGCATGACATTAGATAGGCTGATGAGCAGTCATTAAACACATAGCTACTCTTCTTTTTAATAATGTAAATGAATAGTAACTAAAGGACACAGAACAATTCTTTCAGTATATTTCTGCTTTCACCACCGGCTCTGCAGAAAGATCCCAAGGAGTGATGCAAACAATGCCTTCTGTCCTAGCCCGTTTCTAGGGTGGCAACACTAATGCAATCAGCACAAACATCTTCACCCCTCTTTTGTTTAGCGTCCTCAAGATGAAGACCTTTCCTACTCATCTCATCATCTCTTTGCTGCATTCCATCTCAAAGTACACGATGGCTGAACAGGAGGCATAGTCAAAGGGTTTTCTGGTCCTCTGACTTCACTAAATCGTTAATGTTGTGGAGTCTTAATTTTCTTTGTCATTCAAAAAACACAAATGAGAGTAAAAAATGTCCTTTAATTAGATCAGCATATAGATAGAATGAGTTGTAATAAAGATGATATAGCTCCTAAGTATAAAACGTTGTTATGCGTTAGCTTAATAATAGTAATAATAATAAGCTTTCAAAGTCTGGCTAACTTTGCACCCTTTCAGGAGAAATGAATGCTGACTTCAAGATATCGGAATTAAGTCTACACTAGGAGGTCTGAGAAGTTAGTAATGATTCATTAGCTGACTCCACCCGTATATGCTGATATGATGAAAACAGCATTCAGTTAGGTGCTTTAGAAATACTACCTCATTTAACGCCCACAACCACATGTTTATAATGAAAAATCTGTATCTTGGAGAAGCAAAGAGAACATGAGGCTAGACAGAAGCAAAATCTCGATTTGGCTTTAGGAAATGATAATGGTGACTCTAGTGAACGATTAACAATAGTAAGAAATCACTAACATTTATCAAATGTTTACTCTCTGACATAGTAACTATGCAACAGGCCCCATCTGTATTATCCTCACATTCACTGAGTTGAAGCAGTAAACTATTCCAGATCACACAGTATGGGCAGAGCGAGGATCCAAACCCTAATCAGCAGATTCCTGAGCCAATGCTCTTAGAAAAATGTTAATCCAAGAGATTCTCAAAACTGTGTCATCCCAAACTTTTGGCTTTTTGCAACAGTATTATTTTTTAATATTATGACTTTTCTTTCTTACATATCTACCTATAACTTGATATTAAGCGAATAAAGATTCTAAAAATTCAGGTCTACAGTGAAAATTTTAACTGGGAATAAATAAAATATTTAGTCAGAATAGCATTATGCTCTGTTTTCCAAACATTTCTTCATAGTTAACTCTGGCAAGCCTAATTTTTTAAGTTTGGCCCAATTATGACGTAAGTTTCAAACAGAAAAGCCTGGCCGTATATATTTCATCCTGATCAACTTTTGTGTAAAATTGTAATTGACAGTTTATTCTGCTTAGAATAAAGTAATTAGATTTAATTTAAGTTACTTTCTCACACCCCCAACATTTTTTTTTGTTTTTTTTTTCTAT